GCTGTGAAGAGACACCAAGACCAAGGCAACTCTAATAAAAGAAGGCATCTAATTGGTGACTTGCTTACAGTTTCAGAGGGTAGTCAAAGATCATCGTGCCAGGAGAGGGGGCAAGGACGGACACATGGCTGCATGCAGGGAGGTGCTGGAGCAGTAGTTAAGAGTATGTCTCCCTTTCTCTCCCATTGGCAGAGAAAGGGAGACATACTAGTCCTGGCATGATGCACCTCTTCCAATAACAACACCTCCTAATCTTTCCAAAGAGCTCACCAACTGTGAAGTAAGTGTGCAAATATGAGCCTATGGGAGCATTCTCATTCAAAGTACACATGATTACTTGACTCCATATGCACAACTCATGAATATGGATGCAAAGGACTATCTATAGCAGAAAGATATTAGAAAAAGCTCCTTCCCAGGGTTGGAGAGATGGCTCAGCAATTAAGAGCATTTATGGATCTTGCAGAGGACCTGGGTTTGGTTCCCAGAACCTACAGGGCAGCATACAACAACCTGTTAAGTCAAATTCTACGGGATTTGGTACTCTCTTCTGGCCTCCACAGACATTGCTCACACATGGTGCACATACATACATACATACATACATACATACATACATACATACAGGCAAAACATTCATACATATAAAAATGAATACTTACAAAGTAATGTTCCCCTTACAAGTTTTAAGTTTATCAAATATAGTAGTTTATAAATAGTGAATGTAACTTGTATATCCACTCATGTTGGTAAGATTGCTCAAAGAGAACTGTGGGAAAACTATTTTCAGAAGCTGACAACTGTTTTAAGTGTGTACTTAAATTATAAATGAAGAAGTATGAGGATTGGAGAGATGGCTCAGTGGGGAACATGCTTGTTGTGAGAGCACAGGGACCTGAGTTCAGATCTCCAGCATCCAAGTGTGTTAGTTGGTTTTTCTCAACTCCACACAAACCTAGACATATCTGGGAAGATGGAATCACAACCAAGGAATTGCCTATATCAGAGTTCCATGAGCAAGTCTATGGGGCAAGTTTCTTAATGATTGATGTGGAAGGACCCAGCCCTCTGTGGGTAATGTCACCCTTGGGCAGATGATCCTGCATTGTATAAGCAAACTAAGCAAGCCATGAAGAGCAACCAGTAAGTAATATTCCTATAACCTATGTTCTAGTTCCTGCCTCCAGGTTGCTGCCTTTAGTCCCTGCCCTGACCTCATGATGGACTGTCATTGAGGTGTGTAAGTCAAATAAACCCTTTCTTCCCAGGTTGCTTTTGGCCACAGTGTTTCACAGCAATTAAAAGCAAACTAGTATACCATGTAAAAGCCAGGTGTGGCAGCACAAACCTATAACCTCAGCACTTGGGGTAGGAGGGCTAAATAAACAGGGGATCCCAAGAAGTCACTTGACAGCCAGTCTAGCAAAAACAGGCTCTGGTGTTAGTGAGAGACCTGTCTCAAAAAATAAGACAGGGCTGGGCATTGGTGGCGCGCGCCTTTAATCCCAGCACTCGGGAGGCAGAGGCAGGCGGATCTCTGTGAGTTTGAGGCCAACCTGGTCTATAGAGTGAGTGCCAGGATAGACTCCAAAGCTACACAGAGAAACCCTGTCTCGAAAAACCAAAAAGAAAAAAAAAAAAAAGACGGTGAGTAAAGCATTTGCTGCTCTTCCAGAAGACCAGGGTTTAGATCCTAGTACCCACATGGCAGCTCACAACAGTCTGTTTCTCCAATCCCGAAGGATCGGACCTGCTTCTGGCCTCCTTGGGTACTATATGCCAAGTGGTGTAAGACATACATGTAGGTGAAAGAGAAAATGTAATTTTTAAAAAATTACACAAATGCAGTTTAAAAAGAAAAATATCATGAGGATTCTGCTTCTAGAACTTCCACAATTAATTTTTACAATAACATGAGGGAAAGCTTCATTACAATGAATTCTTGCATATGATACTAACAGCACAAATAAGACTAAAAAACTGATATGTGCTTCATGAAAATTAAAAGGTCTCATTAACTGAAGGACTGATTAAGAGTGAAAAAACAACCCACAGAATGAGAGAAATATTTTGTAGTTGTATCTGATTCCCCCTGTAGGTAATGGATAAAAAAGAAAAAAAAATCTGTCAAAATATCTTCTAGAAATAACCTTTATTTACATAGAGGTAGAGGAACAGCAATATAATATGGGTGTTGCAGCTAGGCACTGAGCCAAACTCCTGAAATCCTGTTGTAGAGAATGAGGAGTGATGAGCAAAGGAGTTAAGAACATGCTGGGGAAACCCACAGAAACAGCTCTTGTGAGCAAGTGGGAGCTCAACGACCCCAGTTTGATAGCTGGGGAATCAGCATAGGACCAAACTAGGCCCCCTGAATGTGGGTATCAGTTAGAAAGCCTGGGAAATCTATGAGACCTCTAGTAGTGGAACCAGTATTTATCCCTAGGGCATGAATGGACTTTGGGAACCTATTCTCCATGGAGGGATACTCTCTCAGCCCAGATACACAGAGGAGGGCCTAGGCCCTGTCCAAACTGCCATGACAGACTTTGATGATCCCCCATGGAAGGCATCACATTCCCTGGGGAGTAGATGGGGGGTGGGGGGGTTGGACATAGGAGGATGGGAGTTAGAGGGAACTGGGATTGATATGTAAAATAAGATTGTTTCTAATTTAAATAAAAATTTATAAAACAAAAAGGTAATAATATGAGTGTTAAGAATTAAGGGAACTGAAGCTGGAGAGATGGCTCAGTGGTTAAGAGCACTTCCTGCTCTTCTTGAGGACCAGAGTTTGAGTCCCAGTACCCACACAGCAGCTCACAACTATGTATACCTCTAATTCCAGGGAGCACGACAACCTCTTTTGGTCTGTGTGGGCACCAAGCACACATCATAGAAGACAAGTAAGCAGACAAAACACCCATACACATAAAAATAAAATAAGTGAATAAAATAAAATAAATAATTTAAAAACTCTTTAAAACAAGCCTATGAGACAAGAAAGTTCTGGAGTGAGTCCCTCTAGCTCCTTATGCTGGAGTGATAGACAGGCTAGCAGTTCAAATTCCTCAGCTATCACAGGAATGAAAACTGACCATAATCCATGCTGTCAAGGGTTTGGGGAGAAGTGTATTATCATACACTGGCAGTGGGAATAAATTGTTTGATATTATCTGTGAGATTTTAAAATGTATATACTCATCCTATTTCAAGGTCTTTAAAGACATAGCTAAACTTGGAATCAGAAACTAAAATAAGATCTACAACAACTCCTGTACCTTAGGCTCAGGGAACACCTCAGCAGAGGGGCCAGAGGACCAGGAAATCTTCTGTGAGATTTTGTCTACTAGAAATGACAGAGAAGCTATGCTCTGGATGCCTCAACAATATGGCTACCTAAGCAAGACCTGAAGAAGTATAACACCATTAGAGTAGCTTAAGTCACATTAGCAGCAGAATATTCTGAACTAAAACTGCATAGGTATTCTGATGTAATTTGAGGTTCTAATAGCTGCATTTCCTGGTTAGTTTTAACTGTCAGCCTGATATAGCCAACAGTCACCTGAGGAGAGTCTCAATTGAAGGACTGCCCAGATCAGATGGCCTGTGGACATGTATGTGGGAAATTCTCTTAGCTGTTGGTTGATGTGCACAAGTTCAGCACCACACCTGTGACAAGTGGTCCTAGGCTATAACCATGAGCCAACAACTATACTCCACCAACAGTTCTACTTCAAAGTTCTGCTGGGACTGCTGCCCAGACTTCCCTCAATGATGACTTTTAACAGTAAGCTAAAATACACTGCCTCTTCCCTAGTTGATTTTGGTCTTAGTGTTTGTCACAGCATAAAAGGAACTACAACACCAATCCTCTTTGAAGCCTGCACATTGGTTCTGAGTTTTATCCATAAAGCAGTGTCATCATCTTTTCATACATCCCCTTCCAAGTAAAACCACAGAAGAAACATTTCATACATGCAAATAATACATTTTTTGAAATTTATGTCATAAACTTATGAACAGAAAGAAATAAAAAGGGGCAAGTGAAATGGCTCTGTGGATGGTGCTTGCTGCCAACTCTGAAAACCTGAGTCCAGTCCCTGGAACCCACATGAAAAAAGGAGAGAACTAACTCCTGACGGTTATCCTCAGGCCTCCATGTGCACACCATGGTACACACACACACACACACACACACACACACACACACACACACAAAATAAATAAATGTAACAATTTTTTTAAAGAACTAAAAAGTGCTACGTATTCAGAAAAGGACCCAAAGTATTACCTGTAAGTCACCAGTAATACTTAACTCTAGATAAAGAGTATGACAAAGGAAAGGTTTTTCCTTTTCTTTTATTTCCCTGTCTGTGTAAATATTCACTCCAATGATAAATAATCACGTAACATTGACAGCGTTTTTTTTAATAATTTAAACTCTTAAAGAAAACTAAAAGTGGATATGCCTCTTGTAGAGTTGCACACCATGCTGATTGAAAACTGGAAACATGTATGTATATTCTAGCTTATACAACAAAATATCACACTGCCTTGGAATAAGGAAGGATTTTCTATATATTATGCCAGAGGAAAAAAAAGGAAAACATACTCATTTTTAAGCACATAAATAAAATTACTGAAATCCAATTACTTAAACTCAAGAAAAATTACTTAAACTCAAGAAAAAATATTCTAAAACATATGTAAGGAACTCTGGCAAAATGCAAATGTATTAGTTTTTAAATAGGCCTAGAGCATTTATAGTTAACTAACTCTCTCAACATGTGTGCATATGTGTTATGCAAGCGGAAAAACTAAGATGTTTAACATGTATACACACATATATAAAAATGCATGCATAGCACATAACAGCTTTTATAACTTCATCTTTTCAAACGACTACCTCCGGTTTTATGATAATAAATACTAAGAAATGTTTTCACTCAGTAAATGACCACTAAAAGCTCCTTACTAAATCACGTGTATCATCTCACCTTTAACCCTTCAGCTGGTAGTCTATAGCCAAATCTTGCTGGAAGGTCCTCAAACGTCCGAGTTGCATTTTCAAAATTATACTAAATATAAAATTTAAAAGAATCAAATTAAAATCAATTTATAAATTATATTTTAAGAGTTTATATTAAATCATATAAATCAACATTTCTGTAAATCTGATTTACTACTTTAATTATCACAAAATAGAAAGAGCAGCAGTTAAAATAACAAGAATAAATATAATTTACATAAACCATTTAAATTTGATTCTAACTTCATGTATTATCAAACACCAACAATAATTCTGTAACTACACATCTACTGTTTTCTGGATACAGATTATTCCCTACCAAGGAATTTTCTAGATAAATAATTTACAGCAGAAGAGTTTCATTTTATTTTCTCTATATTTTAAGGGTCTAATTTAGTAGAAGAGATTCACAGGATTTCTGATGATAGCTATGAAAGATGACATCTGCCCCCAGAAAAAGCAACATCAATGCATACTCTTATGAACCATCAATTTTTATAAAAAGAACACTTAGAGCAGTAGCTCTCTACCTTCCTAATGTTGTGACCCTTTAAAACAGTTTCTCGTGTTGTGCTGAACCCCAAACATAAAATTATTTTTGTTGCTACTTTATAACTGTAATTTTGCTACTGTTATGAGCTGTAATCTGTGTTTTCTGATGTTCTTAGGCAAACCCTATGTATAGGGTTGTTCTCTTCCCACAATGGGTCGCAATCCACAGGTTGAGAACCAATGACTTAAGGACCAAATTCAGTGTAACACATAATAGGGAAAGCTAAAACTATCTAAGTATTTTGATTTAATTTATTATTGTTGGGAATGGTACACACATGCCATAATGCACATACATAAGTTAGAAGATAACTTTGTGGAGATAGTTCTTCCTGTGCACTTTGATGTGGGTTTCAGGGATTGGATTCAGGTCTCAGACTTGTAGGGTAAGCACTTTACCCATCTCACTAGCCCAAGTTATTCAAACAATTTCCATTTTCCATCAGACATTGGTTCTTGTGCTACAGTATTAAGAGTCTCCTACTGTAATAAAAAGTGTGTGCTTCTAGAAGACAATAGAAAGGCTAGGGACCTTACCTAGCATGCGTGAAGCCTTGAATTTCATTTCCAACATACACACAAACATACACACACACACACACACACACACACACACACACACACACACACACACACACATCCCTCAGCACAAAACTAACTGTGAGATG